TGATAAAAATTTGTATCATGTTATGAAATTTCAAGATGCATAATATCGTAACAGCATATTTAAAAAAATTAACAATGCAGTTTATGTTCTAATTGAAAATACACTTTAATTTGAAAATACACTTTAAAACATATATATGTAAAACTAGTAAACAAATAACTTTATTTAGAAATTAATTTTAATTAAAAAGATAACATAGGAGCTAAATAAATAAAACTACTTATTCAGCTAATATTGATAATTATTTGCAAGGAAACATTTATGAAAACATGCATATTAATTTCCAGAAAAAAGTAACTATATTTTTTGAAATTTTATTAGTATTCTTTTAATAATAATGTGTACCTTTTCCACTAAGTTTGGAAGTAAAAACATGTATTAAAATTAGCATTTAACTTAAAAAAGATAACTTAAAATACTAACTATTTACTGGTATAAAAGAACTGATTACAATTAATAAGGTAAGACAATTATATGAAATCAGACATAAAGTTCAGACTTAAAAGAAAATGAAATTTCAGAACAGACAGTTATGCTATTAAATAATTTCCAAACTAAATTGCGGTACAAAGTTTTATTTTTTAAATGTAATTCCTATTTTCTGTTACTTTTAACGCAGACTTTATTAATATATTCTTACAAAATGAAAAAGTTTGTATCCACTTTCTTTAAAGTATATAAAATTATTTAATGTTTGAATATTTATGATGGGGTGTTTGATTTGAAACACTGTATTGAAGATTTAACGGGAGCAGGAGATTCTAAAAGAGAGTTTTTTTATTAATAAATACAAGTCCGCAAACGTATCCCTTTGATACACAAACAACACTATTTTAGGTGATGAGGCAACAAATTGTTTCTTCTTCGTCCATTTGTAACACCAACTTAGTAGATGCAACATACAATATTTCAGAAATTCGGGAATGATTGAACTGTATGAAGTTTCCAATGGAAAACGAAGATTTCTTGCAAAACAATGCTACACTGAACCGTTCCTTGAAGTATGAAGGAGTTTTAGGGCTAATTCCCGAAAGCTAAATTGCCAAAAATATTTCTTGCTTCAAAAAAGGTGCCGTTGTGGGCCCGAAGCTCAGTGTTAAACATTCCATCTTCCAGTGAAATAATAAAACATCAATAAAAATAAAAAATATTGTGATTAAGAAAGCTAATCTTCCATTAACGTTTACACAAAAAATTCCAAATAATCTTGTTTGTGCATTAAATCCAGAGATGTTTCTTTTTATAAATATTACATCTATAGTGTAAGTAATGTGTACTTTCTTCAGTGAAAATTCTTTTCAGATTGTTAACGTTGGAGTCTGTGAAATCATTAGATCACATTCAGATATACCCCATTTTTCACACGTTTCATCTTTATGTCGTCCTGAACAGTACGGTGATAGCCGAGATTAACCAACTGCATTTCCGTTGAGATTTGGTAGACATCTGAATAAGATATAGGCATTTCTGATTGAGTATCTTTCAGAAATTAGGAGACTCACGAAGCTCTCCCTAGTAATCAATGGAAGGGATAGACAGATGCTGAATTACATGCCCCTAGAGCAGGGGTTCTCAACTGGGGGTACGCAAGAGAAAAATAGGTGGCACGCAAAGAAGCAAAGCATTTTGAACAATTAAATCAAAAAATTAAAACCCCAACATCCTGATTGAGTTTTTTCTCTAATAGTCGTAAATTTAGGCGGTATGAGCTTTGTTCAAGAGTGGTGGTGGTATAGTTCGACCGGCTCATCCGCGATCATAAGCCCAAACACGCATGAGTCATTCGGAATGAATTATTCTCAGAATAGGATGGAAGGATGGGGACTTTTTTCCCCTCGAGCATATCAATTCTGTCTTTCCGGAGGCTTTTACGTGATCTTTCTCGTCGCAGCAAGTGATAACGCCCGTTTGGGACGAGTCTATGTATTTTGGCAGAATGCCAGCCAAGGTCGTGTTTGAGACGGTCGAACTATAGTAGTACTTTGTAGTGGTGGTACTGAAGGTTTTCAATTTTTTTTAGATGTCCAAAAGGTTGAGAACCGCTACCCTAGAGCGTTCGCAACTGGGTGTAATGAATGCAGATATTCTTTGCCTTCACTGCAGAATTTAATCCAGTCTTCTCGTCATTCTTCTTCTTAATCCCTCATCTTGATGTCCCGATAAAAAACTTTTGAGTTTGAAACTTTTTTGTATTAAAAATTCCCAGTTCTCACAGATTAATATTTTAACTGTGCCGAACATTCAGTTACATTTCCAACCCACATCCAACAAGGCCAAACGTTTTAAAAATTACGTAACTTTCCCATAAATTATGAAGTAGCTTTCTTGCACATCAAAAACGGTAGTTGAGCGACATGCCTGAGATACTTACAGCAACGAATTTAACTGTGTAGTTTTTTTTACTATGTCGTACTAAACCTCATCTATGTTACTTTATCATAATGAATATCAGAGTTATGATATATGTCTGTTCCCTTAACACATACCGTTTTTTTGCTGTGACACATGTCTTTTTATTGCTCAAGAATGGCCTTATTAAAATTTATTCTATGCAGTATTTTATTTATTCTCTGTAGTAGCCGTATTCACTGGTGATTCATATCAAGATATATCATGTGGAATGAAACCGCATCCAGTTATATTAACGTAATATTTGAGCAACATATGTAGTATATTCTTATTAAATAAATTACGTAGAATAAGGCATTTCAATTTGTTAACGATATTAAAATATTTTGTACACTGCATAAGGTATCGCACTGTAAATTAGAATGCATAGTATAAAGAACATTGTTATATACTTTATCTTGCTCTTGTAAAATCTGGAATAAAATGTTTTGCCTAATCTTTAAAAGGATTAGGCTAAGATGAGCGAAAGGGATTCTGGTATTTCGGTTTGATCGTCAATGAGGCGACAAAGCTATGAAGAAACGGAGTACTATAAATATTTAATTTCTATTTTAGGAAATGACATTATAAATAAATTTCTCCTTACAGTTGTTGCCCACCAGCGGCCGAGCGGTAAAGTCGCTGAACACTGGTAGTTCGGTCCGATGTTCGAATCCCGCGAACGGGCTGGCTGCATGGGCGTTTTCGTGGTTTTCCCCATGTGTAACGTGTATGCGACCCAGTTTCCCTTAGAAAATCCTCCACGAAGGCATCCGTCCTCTTAGGCAGATAGCCCTCGAGGCTTTGCCATAATCACGCACACACCTTACAGTTGTCGGCGACGGATATTCAAACACTCAGTTTGGATAATCTCACTCTTTGACACCTCTTTTTCGTGGATCCAGTACTGATATGAGCTCAGAAAGACAATTTGTAATCTGAGAAGACACACATCTGTGAAGACTGGAAACCAATCTCGAAAACGTTATGCATATTTTTGAGCAGACTGAATACAGTAATGCATTTTTAAAAGATTTCTCGATAAATCCTTCGTCACAGTCGGTTCCAGAAACTTTATCAGATTAACCGCGTTTAAAATTCCGATGTACTTCATTACATTCAATACTTTTGTTTCTGCTAATAACTTTATTTTACTTTATTATTCTTTAACCATCTAGACAACATAATGATAAATTCCTAAATTTCCAGGTCAAGATAATAAAAAGTTAGAATGTGAAAATTCGTTATTTCGAATTCATTGTTGAGAAGAACGTTCCAGAAAATGAACAATTTTAGTATTTATGAGTTTATTATAAAGATTACTCGAAGAAAGTTTTAAATAATATATATTTTCTAGTGCGTAAGCAAAATTTAAACTTTCAGTATGGGCAAAATTTCGGTTTACGTAAAGTAATATTACACATGTAAAAGCTATCATCTAAATTGTAAACTACACAATCTCGTTTTCTTTGATCATGTTGCAGGTTTTTGATTAAAATGCATTATTAATGCAAAAGGAATGTTCAAATAAATAATACAATTTTATATCTAATAATACTTTGAAAATAGGTTGCGTTGCTGTATATTTTCAAGTTCATTTCATTTGAATGAAACTGGAAATTTTCAGACATTGCTCACCTAATACTTTGAAAATAGGTTGCGTTGCTATATATTTTCATGTTCATTTCATTTGAATAAAACTGGAAATTTTCAGACATTGATCATATGGTTAGAAAAGAAATGCCAACTTTGGAATGAATGAACTAAATCAGAGTATAAGACTTCAGTAACATTAAAGAGTTTTTTCTCAAAATTATTTTGCAAAGTTTGCGATAATTTTCAATAGAAGGCTTAAATAAATTTGACAAAGAAAGTTTAAGCGTTCTCAACTCTGTTTAGTAACATAGATTTGCAATAAAGCGATATTTTGCAAAAAGTTCATTGAATATCGAACTTATATTTTAAGAACGAAAATTTTTACATGCCTTCGAAGCCATGTTTTAAATAGAACATCTTTATATATTTTTAAGGGCTTAGAGATATCTTATAATTTTTTTATTGTTTAACGCTATATTAAAAATTTTATTGCAACGACCTCGTATTAATATTTATTACATATTAATATTAGTTACATATATTATAAAAATAGAATTAACGCCAGATATTTAACTTAAATCTCTATAAGTTTTAGTTCTCTATCTCTCTCTCTATATATATATAGTATATAAATTCAAAATAATTTAAAGTATTATTGAACTTCAAAAGTCTTACGTTTCATGTGAAAAGCTGTTATGTCGCTGAAATATGCTTCCTATTTCCAAGATTCCAGATTCTCTTTTGTGAGTTTTATGCAGTTGTAAAAAAACATTTGATCATGCTTTAAGTCTTAGCTTCATGTTGTACATTGCACATATAATTACGAAACACCTCTTCGAAATTAAATTATAATTTCGGGCATTGTTAGTGAAACTTTCCAGACTTAGCTATGAAATCATTTTATCAGTACTCGGGTTAACTATTTGCTTGAATTCTTAAACAAAACAAATTTTAGTTACTCGAAAAGTTGTTCTACAGAATAAATTTTGGTACTGAAGAAGAAAAACAATACTCACGAGGGAAGCTGAAGAAAATATCATCCTCCTTAGAGTATTCCGAAAATATCAGTTGAAGAATCAAACACTCTAATGAACGAACAACTTACAAACCCATATGAGAGAACGCAAATAAATCGCTTCACTTGCTTTGAGCTTCATTTATAGCGACATGCCCGACTTACCACTCGTCGCTCAAGTCAAAGAAAAAAATTGGAGGCAATGTATTCCTCTCTATTTCCGTGTAGACACGCGTCTTTTCAAGAGGAAGGAATAAGCTTAATTACACTTACTCGAAATTTAATTCACGGGCATGAAAGAGTTTATCATTCCACATCTCAATTTGCATACATTAATTGCTTAAAGATGTAATCTGTTAAAACTAACACAGACTAGACAATCTGATGATCTGAATCTTTATTGTTTCCATCAATTAAATAAGATACAACGATAGCATGGTTGCCGCTTGTTACACTTTCCTAGAAGACAAAGCGGTAAATTCAACAAGTTCCTAATGGGTATTTTGAAAATATATTAAATAGGGATTGGGAAACACAGGAGCGCATACTAAATAGGAGAATAAATAAGGTTCCCCTCCTCCAGCCCCCTAGTTTTGAAAACTGAATAATCGTTTTACCTTAAAACGATTGTTTAACGATATAATGCTTTAAATATTAGGATTTGAATTCATACCAAAAATTCATAAAAAACGTTTTTTGCAAGGTCGTTTTAATCAATTAGACTCAGTTTCCTCAATTATAACTTCAAAGAACGTTGATGGATGGTGTTTACTATCAAAGAATCAGTCAAAGAAGCTCAATAAAATACACATTTTAACGAGCTATTAATTCTGCTTTCATTGTTTAATAATTATTTAAATTATTTTAGGCTTTTCCGAGAATTGTTAGCATAAATTTAGGTATTTTGCATAATGAAACTCGAAAGGCATACGGAAACGAACGTGCGCTAAGATATACACTGGTGTGCAAAAATTAAGGACGAAGTCGAAAAATTAGCATATCAGCTGAACGAAGAGGCAGAGCGGACAGAAAGACCAATCAGGAGATTAAGTAAGGTGATGTAAAGTAGCACATGCGCAGATATGCAGGTAGACGTAATGGGGAAGTGTCTGAGTAGTATAAAGCATGTTGTCGGTGTAAGATCAGTATTTCTGGAAAGAGATTGCACGCCGTATAGCAGTTAAATCACACCGAGTTGCTGCTCAGCGAGAAATGGCGAATAATCAATCTGTTAGACAACATCTGGATGCTTTTACCCGGGTCGAAATCATTGGGAAGTTGGAGGAAGGCTGCAGTGTGATAAGTGTGGCTGCAGAGTTCGGAATTGCTCACAGCATTGTTTCACGACTTTGGAGACAATTTCAAAACTACAGGAACCGCTATCCAGAGGGTTTAGTAGTGGTCGTCCACGAGAAACCACACCCGCAGATGACCGGATATTGCCTTACAGGCCAGAAGAAAACAGGCGGCAGACAGCGGGGAAAATCGCTAGACACACGACACGGCGACTGGACGACCGATATCGCGTTTTACCGTGGCCAGAAGACTGCACGGTGGTGGTCTGTTTGCACGACGCCCTGTACGGTGTCTACCTCTAACGCCTACCCATCGGAGAAGGCGTTCTCTGTGGTGCCGGGAACACCGGAATTAGAGAGACAATGAATGGGGACGAGTACTCTTTACAGATGAGAGCAGATTCGATCTGAGTAGCGATTCTCATCGCATACTCATCTGGAGAAAGCGGGGAAGCCGCAATAATCCCATCATCATTGAACATCATTGAAAGGGACAGGTATGGAGGTAGCGGTGTTCTCGTTTGGGGAAGCATCATGCTTGGTAGTCGTACAGACCTTCACATCTTCGACGCAGGTTCAGTCAACGGGACCCGTTATTGTGACGAGATTCTTCTTCCATATGTGCGTCCTTTTAGAGGCGCTATGGCTCCGCAGTTCCTTTTCATGGACGACAATGCACCATGTCATGGCACAGTAGCTGCCGAACAGCTCTTAGAGAGGGAGGATATTGAACGTATGGATTGGCCGGCACGATCTCCGGATCTCAATCCCATCGAGCACGTATGGGATTTTTCTAGGCATACGCTTGGCAGCTCGTACCTTACCACCAGTAACGATTCCGGAGCTTCGATTGGCGCTGCAAGACGAATGGGCAGCAATGCCTAAACAACTCATTGACACCCTTATTCTCAGCATGGGCAGACGCTGTGAATCCTGCCTAGCAGTCAGGGGAGATCATATCCCCTATTAAAGACCGGATGTTTCTTGCTGGACACCCATCACAGGTAGTTTCGGCCTTCAGTCGCATTGCGCTCCATGCTATGTTTTCAATAAAGCTTCTGATTTCTCTTTTAGTAAGTGTTGCTTACATTACTCATGTCCTTACGTATTGGGGATCTTACGGTATTAAATGTGTTGATTTGGAAAGCTTTTGTACAAAGTTATATTGAAAAAACCGTCTCGTCCTTAATTTTTGCACATCAGTGTATATTGGCGAGAGAAAGTAAAGTTCGCTTGCAATGTAGTATATTTGACTTCCACCTTGGCTACGTGCAGTGTATTCGATTTTCACCTTAGCTACTTATATCACGGCCGAAGGTCTAATTCAGTTAGTACTTTCTCTTTTCAGGTACGGTGCCAAAATATGTAGTATGTTCCTGTTATTACTTCCTTGTACGAAGTAAAAAGGAAGCATTGTTATCGCGAAAAGTTTCAGGCAACATATTTCAACCAAAATATCCATTTTGACCGTTATCGAATGCAATTTAACGATGTTCTTGCGTGATATCTGTACGTAAGGACAGAATAAAATACTCTTTTCCTTCAAAAAAAATTATAAAACTGCTTTAAAATTAATTCTGAAGAGAATTTTTCGTGGCGTCTGTACGAACGTATGTACGTACGTACGTACGTGCATGCGTACGTACCTATCTCGCATAACTCAAAAACGAGTAGCCTCAGAACGTTGAAATTTTGTATATAGGACTGCTATAACATGTAGATATGCACCTCGTATTTTGGTTGCAATCGGCCGCACCAAACGTATATAAATATATTTACATATATATCCACTCTCTTATCCGGCTCAGTGATCTCAGTTTCTTTACTCTTATATGTTTGTAAATTGTACATTTTTTGCTTTAAAAATGATTGAATTATGTTGTTTTTATCTTCCGGTTAAGGATTTATGCCTTTAGCATATCGTGTGCAATATTTTTAGAATTATCAGCAATTTTAAAGTTGTTTAATTGCCGCTAAGCCTGTTTTTAATGGCGGCCATTGATGTTTACATTTGAAACAGGAGACTAGTGGATTTGTTGCAAATTTAGCTTCCCAACAACAAAGATAACGCATTCATTTATTATTGCCAATTAAATCGTGCTTAATTCTTTCTGGAATTTTTTCGAGGAAATAAGTGTTTGAGATTTACTTCGTAATTTTTAATCTAGATATTTTGAGATTTTATGCATTTTTGCCTTCTCTTGAAGTGAGAACGGAATTAATTGAATGAGAAATACTCAATCGTCTGTGAAAAACTGTCTGTTTTTTGTTTTGTTTGCTTAATTTCTTTTATACATCATTCTAGCTTTATTATAGTATTTGAATAGACCATGTGGCAACGATTAGATTATTCTATTCTTTAAATGATATAAACTTTGTGCATTATGAGTTATAATATGAACGAAATATATAAGTTAACTATTATTATAATTATTGGATTATATAACAGTTAACTTAGTTTACGTTATATGATTATTATATAAGTTAACTGTTATATAATTATTAGTACTGTTAAGTGAATCTAGCGCTGGAGTGTCGCTATGGTAAACAAATACTTGAGTGAATTTTAAAGAATGCATTTATTCTATTGTGGTTTATGCGCTGTCGGCGAAATAGATTTGATTCATTCCAATAAGTTTAAATGAAACACAAGAAAAAATGCGTATAATTTAATATTCCGTACAAGGAAGTCATGTGGTGTACACATCAGATTTTTTCTTATTGCCTAAATAGTGTTGCGTGCGTACGGGTTCGTTATGAAATGAATGCACAAGTCCGATGAAAAATAAACAAAAATTTATTATTATCACAACAAAAATGCTTAAATTTTTCTCAAATTATCATGCAGTATTACAATATCTCTCAGTAGTTATCTTTCAACTACTCTAATGTCCAATAGAGGGTAATTCAAAACAGCTAAAGAACGCTAATGCGTGAATTCGCTACAATCAACAAAAGCAGTTTTCTAAACAACAAAACCTAAGCAACTACTACAAACTGAGATGTTTTCCTCCTTTTATAAGATTTTAAAATCACGCGCTAGAATTTTCCAGTACTTTCTCGAAATCAAAAAGAGATATTTATTTATTTAATGCTCGCGCTCTTGTATTTTCAATTTTCCTGCTTAGCTTTCTTTTAATATTCGTCACGCGCTGCACTGCGCGAGAAATAAAACCATTTAATTTATAATTGAACTAACATTAGCTTTTTAAATACCAAATTCGTAACACTGCTCCCTTCCCAAGGACTGCACGTCCTGGGCAGTACAATCCCTGGACAGGAAGCTAAACTTACAACTGTGGCATAAATGCATTAATAAGCATTACATTACAATAATGAACAACATGAACAATAAATGCAATAAATAAAACAAATCAAATGCTATCAAATACAAATCAAATGCTATCAAATACAAATCAAATGCTATCAAATACAAAATACAAATCAAATCATACACATTTAAAAACAAAAAGGACCATGGTCTTACACTATTTAAAATTATTTACATTACGTACTATGGCCATAGTAATGAGCTAACCTGTCGTAATGAACGACTTAAGGTTTAGAGTTCGAAGACTTATGAATCCCCGAACCACGACGTCATTCAGCCCTTTTAGGACTGTGTATGGGCCATCCCAAGGTGACTGTAATTTCGGACAAAGTCCTTTCCGTCGAGTCGGATTCCACAACCACACCTTGTCTCCTTCGTGGAATTGATGTTCAGTAGCTCTTGTGTCGTAGCGGGTCTTCATCTTCTCCGTCGCCAAGTTGACTCGCTCTCGTGCAAAGTTGTGCATCACTTCAAACCGGGCCTGGAGATCTTGAATATATTCCTCAGACGATGAAGGAGCATCCG